GGTGTGGTTGGGTCACAGCACGAGGAACTATATTTAAAGGGCCAGAAGGTTGAGAACCACTGTGTTAGTATGTCTGTTGAGATAGGAAGTCATCACACAGCTCAGGGAATAGAGAGGGAGAAACTGGCTTGATTATATCAGTGGGAAATTGAATTTAATAGGAAAATTGAGGGAAAATTATGCTGTAAGACCTTAAAAATCAGGTAAAAGTTAAAACTCTTACATATGTGAGAGTAGGACACTGGTATGATGAAAGGTAATTCTAGATTCTGTTGGTTTGGTAGTAGTTGGGGCGCCTCTTTCATTCATTTCTTTCACAGACATTTTATTGAGTGCCTCCTATGGGCCGTGCATTTTTAGAGGCTGAGGGAGATTGGGTAGAAGGTGAGAAGTGGCAGTTTGAGTGGAGGAAGGAGCTCCTGTTAGGGAGGTAAAGTGGGATTGCTGGTGGTGTGGATTTTCCGTTGGGAAGTTAGGGTCATAAATGTCAGGTTTAACTGGCTGGCAAGTCTGTGCACTTTATTCTATCAACATTCAGCAGCTGGGTTCTCCAAGTAGCAAAAGATAATCAGAGAAAGAACTGGAACTCAGAACAGTCCTGAGCCCGTGTAGTCACCCCCCAGTGTGAAGGTTATCTGACTCCTTGATAGTCTGACTGGCCTCGGCCTCCTCTCTGGAACTGCAATCCACTCAGTTTGTCAATGGCTGACACAGACTGACCTAAACAGACCGGCAGGTTGCTGAACTCTCATTATGGTGTGTGGAGTGTTATGTCTCCATATCACCTTCTCTACCTTACCCTTCCTCTTTAACTTAGGGTTAAGGGAAGAAAAGAGAAAAAAGAATCAGTTGCTAAATATTGAGCAAAAACATTTACTTAAATATCAATCGTTTAAAGCTATTATCTGCATTACTTTTATACTTAAAATGATGTAACTATTAGAATGTGATTAGTTAACTAAATTGAGGAAGAAACTTTCTATTTTCCTGTTTGATTTGCTTCCAAGCAAAATCGCATCATTGGTGACTGTTTTATGTAACAGTTAATGGGAACATTGGTGTTGGATACTGCTGTAAAGTGTGCACACAAGAAAGATCAATGTACTTATTTGGGTTTGCTGGCCTTGCGTGAGTTTATCTTACACAAGGAGTTTGACTCTGGTCTAGTTATACTTAAGCTGGCCTTCACAAGTTAACTAACTTTTGGTTCATGCTGCAATATAGTCAGATGTATTTCTGATTTCTTCGTGATGATCTTTTTCCCTTGATAAGCTCCACATGGTTGTATAATTTACTGAGAAGACATGAGGCTCTGGAAAACCAGTTGATGCCACTGCCAGCTCTTGCTGCTTGTGGGCTGTGTGACTTTGAGCAGGTTGCTGACTTCTCCAAGCCTGTGCCTTTATCTAGCATCTAAGGCTGTAGCATTTGTCCTGCCACCCCACCACAGAATTATTGTGCTTCTTTTTTTCTCTTCTGTGAAACAAATGCTTTAGACCAAGTTACCTCCCATTTTTAATATTCCGTTCCTATTTAATTAGAAGTCTTATTTGGAACTATTTAAAAAACCTATCATGCTTATTTTATTCTTTATAAAAAAAATAAACGTAATGTATGGTGGGGTTTTTGTTGTTTGTTTGTTTGTTAATCCTCACCCAAGGATATTTTTCTCATTGTTTGTTTTTTTTTTTTAAAGAGAAAGTGGAAGGGAGGGGGTGGGTTTGTGGGGGAGTTAGAGAGAGAGAGAAACATCTATGTGAGAGAGACACATCGATTGGTTGCCTCCTGCCTGAGCGAAGCTGAGGAGTGAACCTACAACCCAGGTACATGCCCTTGACCAGGAATCGAACCCTAACTGTTGGTCTGAGGGCTGATACACTACCACTGAGCAACACTGGCCAGGGCTACCCCTAGAGTTTTTAAATGCTCAGTTTTGATCCTGGGCCCTTGGTGAGAATAGCAGCCCACTAGGCTGGCCATGGAAAACACCAGCCTTGGTGCTGATGTGCAGTCTGCAGGTTCATGTCACTTGATAGACTGATGTGTTTTACAACTGAGGTTGTTCTGAACTGAACAGTGGAACTGAGATGTTGTGACAAGCTGTTGTTTTTAAGGTTGCAGTTCTCTTTGCTGGTCAAGTTCTGGACAGTATCCCGTTCTAGCTGTGTACAGAGGAGCCCCCGGCAACTCTTTGATGCTGTGTATCCTGAAGTTGGCGTCCCAGGTGCCTCTTGAGAACCCCACAGTTCAGCAGATGGTCTTCATGTTCCTTTCCAACCTGGCATTGTCTCATGACTGTAAAGGAGTAATTCAGAAAGTAAGTACTTAAACTCCTTCCCATCGTAGAAAAGGTAGTAAAATATTCCTGCCCATCAAGAATATGTGTAAGAAGGCTAGAACTCAGTGTCTAGGGTTAATTTACTCTGCTTTCAGGGCTTTTTATTTTAAAGGATCGTGAAAGGATTAAGAGGGTCACTTTGCTTAAAGCCAGTCAATTGTTGATACATGAAAAGTAACAGAAGCTAGAATATGATGAAACCATTTCCTTCTAGTTTGTCTTCTTAGCTTTGGATTATATTTTATCACTCTCAACAATGAGGGTTTTAGAAAGGCAGTTGTCTTACATTTATTTGAAATCATAAAGTAATATACTGGTATTTAAACAAGACCAAATTGAGCAGTAAATTTCAGTTCAATTTCTGTAGTCAAAATGGTTTATGAAATCATGGTTCCTTTTTCTCCCAAGTTAGACCTAAGTTCTTTATGACCAAAGAAGTGATTTTATCAGTCCCCTGGGATCCAGTGCCTAAACTTGACTCTGGTCACTGATTTAACTTAGAGTACTTAAAAGGGATTGAATGGTGGGAATAAATTCTAGCACAGCTATTCAGTTAGACTGTATTCAGGTACATGTCAACAGAGTCCCTAAAATGTGAATTGGATGTTACTTAATAGTACATGCTGATTATTTGAGTACTTCTCTTTCTTTTACATGAAGGCCAAAATAAATGGCAAATGTTCACAGCATTCATAAGAATTGAGTCTCCTTTTCCTCTACTGTGTCATCTCTCCTCTACTCCCCACTAATCTCCAATTTGAATGCAATCTCCAAATAGCAGTCTTAAGTAAGGAAGCAGTCTTCAGTGATGTGTTGGAGCTAACTCATGTTGACTTAGGAGTGTCCTCTTTAATTTTCAGGAATTTGCAAGCTAGTTGACTCTGGATGATATCTTGAAATCAGCCATAGTGGTGGTATTCACACCAGGTAGATTGGCAGAAGGTACAAATCAGGAACCCACTGCTCTCATTGGAGCCAGCTTTTACTTCCAGCTCATGGCTGGATATTTTCTTTATTTATATATATGTGTGTGTGTGTGTGTGTGTGTGTGTGTGTGTGTGTGTGTGTGTATGAGTGTGTGAGTGGCAATGAGTGTGGGTGACTTTGAGTGTGAGTGTGTGCACGTCTGTGGGTGCATGGAGTCATTTTGAACTGGATGCGTGATTACCGTCTTTCCTCATGTGCAAGAGCACAAACCGGGCACAGTGCTTTCTCTATCTCCTTGCAGAACGTACAGGTAGGAAGCAAAGGAGGAATACCAGGTGCTGTGTGGGTACCAACCTCAGGTCTGAAGTGTGACTTTTAAGACTTACTTAAAAGGAGACTTTCTCCTTTTAACATATTCAGTTTCTTCATTTTTAAAATTATTAGGTTAAACAAAATTATACCTTAGGCATCTTCTGTTCTCACTCTCTGATTAAGCATATTTCGATATTGATGTGATCAGACCTTGAGGTGTAGGTCACCCACCTTGTTTTCTGTCAGCTGCAGTAGGTGATAATGAGCCCTGGACACCTAATGCTGTGGTACAACTCAGATTCTAAAGTGTCTGCTTTCTCTCTATCATGACATTTTCAGCACGTTTCACCTAATGTGGGGAACTTAAAAAGCATCGGCAGGCCCAGCAAAGTAGAAGGAATGCCCACAGCATATTTCCTTTGAAGCCATATTGTTTATCACTATCGTCAGCCCCACATCTCCACTGTCATGGCAGAATCTAGCTGCATGGGGGACTCACGGGATGAATGTAGAAAAACGCTAATTTGGGCCAACAGATGAGAAGTAGGTGCAAGTCAGGGCACGTGCAGTGCAAGTGGGCATGGGGTTCCCCAGCCTGCTTGGTGCTTGTGCGATGCCGCTAATATCTTTGTAGCTAACTCCATCCACACACTCAGTTATTTTATATGAAAGTTACATTTATTTCATAGATTCAAGCCATCATTGTGATTTAGCTGCTGGAGGATCCAGGAAATAAACCAGAGTAGGTTAGGAAACAGGGAGAGAGATGAGATGATGAGACCTTGGGGGCAGTTATGAAAGTTAAGTGATCACATTACTGCTCCTGGATCACTTGTGCACCTGGCCGTGGTTCTCATGCTCTCCTGGGCTGCTTCCTATATGGTACTTTCATTCATTCTTTCTTTGCATGTAGATTATTCTAGACGATAAGTTACTGTCTTTTACATAGTTAAGGGTGTGCTGCGGTTTTGTGGGAGGGTTTTGAGAGGTTGAAATGACTCTTATATTTTAAGTGATGGAGCTTTCTGGTTTCTAGGTTTACTAGAGTGACAGGTACCCGTGAGAAATCTGTAAAGAGGAACAGCTGGGGTAAACAGAACACAAGCTGTAATCACAGGTTATTTTTTAGCTCTCATGTTGTGGTAAAGATTCAGGTATCCTCAGTTCTACCAGGGTTGTTACCTGGTGTCCAGGACTGCTTTGGGTTTTCTTTCTTTTTTTCTTTAACTTTTAAACATTTTATTTATTTTTAGTTTATTTTTTTATTAAAGTATAGTTGACATACAGTGTTATGTTAGTTTCAAGTGTACAATGTAGTAATTTAACATTTATGCCCTACAATGCGATCAGCATAGTAAGTGTAGTCCCTATCTGTCACATACACGGTTATTACGATATTATTGATTATTCCCCTGTGCTGTACATTACACCCCCAGGGCTTATTTATTTTATAACTAGAAGCTTGTAGCTCTTATTCCCTTTCACCCTTTTCACCCATTCCCCTCCCCTCGCTCCTCTGGCAATGATCAATGGGTTTTGGTTCTTTTTCCTCCCCATAGGATACCTTTTAATGAGTAGCAAAATTGCCAGAAGCAGACCGAAAGACAAAACTCCAGAGGCCTAAAATAATCACCAAACTGAATTATCAATCCTAAGTAATTGAGTCGTCTGTAACTGCTTTATCCATCACCAGAAAAGAATTACTAAGAATTAAAATTTGAAAGCTATTTTGTTTTCAATCTTTTTACTTATATCTGGAAAAAATATAGATGGAGTATATGGGAAGTATTGAAGGAATGAAACATTAAAGGTGGGAAAAAGAGAGTAGAATGTTGGTTAATTGGTCTCCGAGGGACTAGGAATGCAAAGACTCCAGAAAAAAATAATGTTCTTTCTATTTATCCGCAGACTAACTTCTTGCAGAACTTCCTGTCTCTCACGTTGCCGAAAGGAGAAAATAAACGTCTTAGTAATCTGACCATTCTCTGGTTGAAGTTGCTCCTGAACATATCGTATGGAGAAGATGGGCAGCAGATGATCCTGCGGCTTGATGGCGGCTTAGACTTGCTGACAGAGATGAGCAAGTTCAAGCACAAGCGCAGCCCTTGTCTGCCTCTCCTTATTTTTCATAACATTTGCTTCAGTCCTGCCAATAAGCCCAAGATCCTGGCCAGTGGTACGTATCCACTTTATACGCCTCACATAGACACACACATCCCTTTATACATATGGTGGTTCATAGCATATTCCATTCAGATTGAAACACAAAATAGTTTTATAAATAATTTTCCAGGTGGTTATGAAACCCTCACTGGCACCGAGGGAGGCAGAGGCTGTGAGAATGAGGCAGGCATGAGGCAGGTGTGGCTCCAGCCCTTAAGGAATTACCTCAAGTCTCCGGGGTTGACAGGTCATATCGCTGGGGGACACACTGGGTACAGGAGGTAGCACAGAGGAGGAGGGTGAGCAGGGGGCTCTGGCTTCATCTGTCCTCCCCTCGTTCCTCTAGGCTTTGAGCAAATTCTGGATGCTGGTGAAGCCAGCCCTCACGCTGCCTCCCTGCCTCCTCTCCCTTCCCGCTCACTCCGTCTCCTTTCCTCATTTTATTTTTCTCCGCAGCGTGACCACTGGCTGAGATACTTTGTGTTTTAGGGATATGTCTATTTATGCCGCCTCTGCCCACAGTAGAACATACACTCTTATAAGTCACGAGGTCATTGTCTGATTTCTTCATGTTCACGTGTAGCACTTAGGATCGCGTCTGTGCTCACAGCTGTCAGTGGATGTGGACGATAGAGACCCTTGGCAGGCAGGAGTGTGCAGGACCCAGGCACGTGGTGAAAGTAGCCTTACAGAGACTTCCTTCTCTGAGATGTAGAGCAGGTGGAGGCGAGAACTGGGGAGTGATCAGAAAAATTTTGAGGCAGAAAGAAAAATGGCAAGATCTGTTTCTGTAACCATATGCTGTTTCTGTGAGGGCTGTGTGACTGTCATAGGGAGGGATTTTATAAGGAGACACTGTGTTATCGGGGAAAAAAGGAGAAGAGCTGTGGGTGATAGACCCCGCAACCACTCGTGATCACTCCAGCATCACTGGGCAGCTTCTCTGGCCCCATTTCCTCATCTATACAGTGATCCCTCCTTCCTTGGTTTTCGTAGAAATTAGTTTTATAATAACAAGTGCCTATACTGTTTATGGTTCATGGTAGATGCTCAAAATACATGAATTCTTGTTCCCTTTCATGTTTTCCACTTAATCTTTCCTTGGAGGGTTTCTCTGTGAAACGGAGTTTTCCAAGTGAATGGAAACGATCTGCTCACATTCTTCATGGGCACAACTGTGATTCTGTTTTCCCCAGGATAGCTATTGAATGTGGGAATGCATGGGAAGCTCTCAAAGGTTTGGTCAGTCAGCTTTGAATTGGTTTGTAGCATTTGCTGGTTTTCATGGTGTCAATATTCTTATAGTTGATTTCAGCCTACCAACATGACATCCCTAAACTTAAAATTAATTCAGTATCACTAAGAAGAAAGGTAAATATTCAAAACCCTTCACTTCTTAATTACTTAACTATATTTTACTGTTACCTCATCTCTTGATATTATTTCTATATTAATGTGGGAATTCATTTCATACCTTACAAATAGACTTGCAAATGTTTTATGTATTTTTAAAAAATTATAGTTGATATACAATATTAGTTTCAGGCTTATGTGTATTTTATATGCATGTTATGTTTCACAATAAAATGTGTTTTTTTTGTTTTTCAAATATATTTTATTTTTTACAGAGAGGAAGGGAGAGGGATAGAGAGTCAGAAACATCAATGAGAGAGGAACATTGATCAGCTGCCTCCTGCACAACCTCCATTGGGGATGTGCCCACAACCAAGGTACATGCCCTTGACTGGAATCAAACCTGGGACCTTTCAGTCTGCAGGTCGATGCTCTAGCCACTGAGCCAAACCAGTTAGGGCTAAAATGTGTTTTTTAAAAAACTGATCCACTTGCATTATCAGAACGGGCAGCATATTATTGACTTGTTGTGTGTGTACTTTATTGAAACATTTTAAGAGATAGTACATGGTAAAAGGAGTAATGATAAATCTGTGTAGATCATGAGTGTTGGTACCATGTGCAACAACATCACTGGGTGATATCAGATGGACACACCATTCAATGATGTCCCCAAGAATATGAGCTGCCACCTGTCACCTGCCATAATGGCTGTGATGGGACAGCTGTTGATACAGGCTAGTTGTGTATTGTGATAGAGGAGAAGCAGGGGACCACAGAAAGCGGGTGAGGGTAGGCAATGGTGTGCGGACAGGAAACAGCACCCGCCCACCTCCACCCACACGCCCCACTGTTCAGAGCTCACTTTATGGAGCAGATGCTTTTTTTTTCTCTGTAAAGACTTTAAATTCCTTCAAATTCCTTTTAAGAACCCTAAATAGAATCACTGAAACAGCATCCATTTGCTTTAATTATGGAATCTTTCATCCAACTAGTATATCTTGAGCCCCTGAAGTAGAGTGGCACTGTGGCTGGAATGTGCAGCAGTGAGCGGACCGACGGCCGCTGCCAGGCCGCTCTGTAAGGAGATGCTCCGGCAGGTGGGGCGTGACCGTACACAGCATCCCCATAACATGTCTCAGGATTTTAAATCTCGTGCTGTAGAGGAAATGAGTCAATGTAATGACAGGGTAAGGAATAAAGCAGCGTCAGGTAATGTCTGAAACACCCTGGCATCTCCTGGCACCTACTTCCCTGCATCTTCACCTAAAACCAGTACCTGCTGAGGATAATTTCCAAGTCTTGATTTCATGCTCTGGCTGGCTGTGCGAAAAGGGGCCTATCTTGTGAGTTGCTCTTCCTTTAAATCGCTTTTCCTCTGACACACACATCCACACAAACATTTCTCCAATGTGTCCAGTTCTTTTGTAAAAGGCTTACCTCATATGGTATTCCTTCACTATTATTTTGTAGAAGCCCAAGCTATTGATATGTTCATGTAACAGTCTTTAAAAGTTATCACAAGAGCAGACCCGTTTTCCTGCACACCAGCATGTGAGCTATAACTGAAGAGCTCATTAATATAACTCATTGTGTAATGACTTCTCCACTATTGTTGTCTTGACATGAATGTGCCATTGTTGAATTAGGGCCGAAAACCGTGAGGCCTTGGCTGCTGTGTCTGTTGTGAAAACTTGACAGGTTGTCCACCCTCTGCCACTTGCTATGCAGGTAGTTTTTGCCATAGTGATACCAACTTTGTGTGCATCTGATGGGAGAACAGGGCAACCGACTGGTTTAATATATACCAGATACTGTCTGGGACTGAACTTTTTTTTTAATGTCTCTATTACTAGAAAAGGTGCTGAGTGTGCTGGCTGCCTCTCTGGAGAGTGAGAGTCCCAGTGCTCGGAGGATCGGCGCAGCCGCACTTTGGGCTCTGATCCACAATTACCAGAAGGTGAGTTCTTACAATCTTGGTCGTGAGTCAGGGGTGAACACCAGCCTCTCGGGCAGCCAGGGACCTCAGAGGAGTGTCAGCTAGAGAAGACTGAGCTTGGAGCCTGTGGCCTGTGCATCCTTCGTACAATTACTAAACCATCACTCAGGTCTCCTCATCTAATCATTTCAGCGGGCTCTCCCATCTCAGAAGAGTCTCTTTTTTGAGTGAGTTTTCCGTTAGTATAAGTTGATTTGCCATATTGGTGCAATGTTAATCTAGATGATTTCTGCTAAAAGAAGGGTCAAGAAAAAATGCATCTTGAAAGAAAACCAAATAGCAAAGCTTTATCCAGTGTGGGACCTCCCTATCTCAGGCACCTGTAGTCACTGAGTTTTGAAGGAGCTCAGTCCTCAGGCTGCTGCGCAGGTCCCGGGGGGCAGGCAGGTGGGGACTGGCGCCTGTTCTCTGAGCACAGATCTCACTCCTGAGGGAAATGCCCACGTGTGTCTAGCAATTAAATAGTGGCCGGGTGACAGGGTGAGCATAGCCACCCATCCCCATGGGCTTCTCAGCTGCCGCCCCTTGTCTGCACACGCACACAGGGACGGAGGCGGCTGCTGTCCCTCTCGCCCATGTGTCTTCTCACAGGATGTGACACTCTGTCGTCACTGTGGATATTTGTTGACTGGTAATGTGGTATGCTTGATCTGAAACCTGAGGTTTGAGGGAAGGTGAAATAACTAAAATTAAGATGAAATAGTTTAAAATAGTGCATTGCAATTAGGGAGAAGGGGAAAGGGAAGGGAAGCAAGAACAAGGGGCAGGAGAGAAGAATCGAGTTAGCGAGGGAAGGGTGTGCTGACATTGATGGCGTGTGCTAATATCTAATTCTGTAGCTTCGTTACTACATTTATAATATCCTGCTTACTACTGCGGTCAGAATGGCAGAGTGAGGATTGTATCGTCATCCCTACAGGTGGAAACGAGTCTAATTCATGGCTTGTTCCATGTTATTTCCAGGCAAAAACGACTTTGAAAAATTCATCAATAAAAAGAAGAGTGGATGAAGCATATTCCTTAGCAAAGAAAAGTAAGTTTCATTATGAGAGATTGCAGTTCAACTTGGAAGCTATTAAGTGAATAGTGAATGAAATATTTGGGCAATTCACAGCAAAAAAGAAGTTTTTTCTACACTGATGTTTTACAATAATGTTTGAGGAACTTTTTGGCTGACGCATTGATCAGTATGCCGGTATTTGGTCCGTGCTTTTCCTTGTAACATTTTTTAAATAATAAAACATAATGGTTTCTTACAACACATCTGTGATCTTTCTCCAAGACATTTTTTCCTTGTACAAAACGTTGCCAGTGCCTACCACTATACTAAAGTGTGTTCTTAGGTGATAAGAACTGGACCCAATTAGAATTGACCTTGAACAGAAAGCTGACCTGACTTTAGGAGTTGAGCTAGTCTTCCAGAAACAGACCCATTGCCCATACCCGCTGGGCCCTGTGATGCCATGGGACAGGAGGCGGGCTTTCCTTTCAAGTGCATTTTTATTTTAAGTGCTTCAAGTTTTCAATGAGCATTGTTCTTTGACCACTTTTATGGTCAGACACTGAACTGTCTTTCCCACGTTGTTATAGTCTGAGTTTTTATAAGTGGCTTTTAGATTTTTTTGTTTCTGGCTGTGACCGTGAACTTCTGGAGGTCGTGGGTCACTGAGTTACTGTCAGTGTTTAGTGTTAGGAGGGATGGTACATAGAAAGAACAAGGCAAGGCATTCATTTGGGCTTGTGGCTAATGGATCCCTTATGGAGGTGCACTGTTTTCAGTTACATTGTTTGGTTAAACCATTAATTAAAAGTAAATAAATTCTGTAAGTTCATTTTTTTTTTTTACAATGTGAAATATCCTAATGCCAAGTACATCAAGGAGTTAAGTAGAACCTTGTCTCACAGAAATCGTACTTAAGTCTGTGTGTGTGTGTGTGTTCACTCCCAGGTGTAGTGCTAAGTTTATCAGCTTGCTCCTCCATACTCTTATTTTTCTCTCAGCTTTTTCAGACTCAGAAGAAAACCCCCTGAATGCCTATTATCTGAAATGTCTTGAGAACCTCCTGCAGCAGCTGACCTGTCCCTGAGGACCCAGGCCTCTGCTCTGCAGCCACAGCCGCTGGACAGGCAGACAGCCGTGAAGCCAGCTGTATGCACAGCTATTGCCCGAGGACAGGCAAGCCCTCTGCCCGGGATGACACTGAGTGACGCCCAGCTCTGTCCCTTCACCTCCCACCAGCTCTGTAGGTAAGAGCAGCAGCCAACCAGAAGATGACGGAAAAAGCATAGAAAGTGCTGGGGACATAAAATGTTTTACCTTTTCTATGCAATTTGCTTTGTAAAAATCCTATTTAACAATTATTTAATAAAATGTTTCTAGAAACTGAAAATTGACTAGTAATTGCTGCCTACAAACTTAATCAGTCTCATGAATATACATTTTAGGAATGGAAAGAAGACATTGCATTCTGATTTCCTTTATTTTTAATTTTTACATGAAATTTAGCTTTTGTCAATATAAACCCTTATCTTTCAAACCTTTACATTGTCCAGAACATTCACACTGGTGACGGAATATTTGTATGTAAGTGTGTGTAATTGTGAGTAGATTTTTTCTGCCATGTTTAGTGATACTAATTCCTTCCCCTGTGATTATAAATACGTTATATATATATTTTTTTACCTTTCAACTTGTGAAATACTGTGTAATCATGAAGAAAGAAATAGAGTTAATGGTCATGTAGGCCTGTGTGCAAATTCCAGCTCAGCCCAAAACACTATGAAGAACAAGACTGAAAATCTCTCAGGAACAAGTCCTGTCAAGCACATGGTGACAGGGGTTTGTGAACTCAGAACTTAAATCCATGTCAGTTCAAGTATTAATGACTTTCAGCAGGTTCTGAACACATTTTGAAAGAAAGAAGAAAGAAAAATGGTGTCTAAGAAATGAAAAATGAAAACTGATGTGTGTGTGTGTGTGTGTGTGTGTGTGTATACGTACGTACATACGTGTACCTGTATACACACAGTATACACATTCATTTAGGAGAAAGTTTTCTAATTGAGTTATGGTTAACAAGAAAAAGTAATACATTTTTTCTTACTAAGTACTGTAGCAGATTGCTGTCATCAATAAAATAAGCCAGGTGATGCTATTTAAGCTGGAAGAATGAGGACAAAATATATGTTAAATGATGAAATAGAAGCAGGTAAATTTGTAGTGTTTAAACATTATCGATTTGAGATAGGACAGATTAATTTCAGAAGTTTCTGGGCAGCACAACATAATTTGGAGCAAATTTCAACAATTTGTAAGTGATTCCTTGTTACCAATTCTTTGAAAAGAATTCAGCTTAGTTCTTATAGAAATAATTATTTTTCATCTCATTTTTGTCATTAATATTTAACCAAGTTTTATAATTCTGGTCACAAGGCTGAGTGTCACAAATGGTTTAGGAGCAGGTACAACCCAAGTCTTGCTCCGCATGACCCTCGCCTCCTGGAATCCAGAGGGGCCTCTGCTGGAGGGAGGCCCGCCTGCCCTGATCATGGATCAGCGTCCACTATTTTCCATTCTCCATTATTGGGAGAATGGAGAAAAGTGTTAAATCTTAGCAAATCCATCCTGCGGTGTCTAGTTAAGAAAGGTTATATCACACTGAGCTTTTAAGGTTTCTTGAAACTTAACTTGTTCTGGTTTGTCTTTGTGGTTAATCCTTGCCTGGCTCCCTATTATTAGGAACAAAGGTTGCAGAGGATGCATGTACTTGCTGGGACGTTACTCTCAACTCACCTTTTCCTTCTCACACCCCCCCAGCTTGCTTGTCCAGGCCCTTTCTCTCCTCTGTGAATTAAGTGTTGAACTTTCCCCCACCCACCTTCACATTTCCATTTCTGCCTGTTTTCAAAGGCCAGCTTCAAATGTCACCTTTCCCAGGAGGCTGTGTCAACTTGCCCAGCTGGGAGGAAATTCTTTTTTCTTTGAGTTTCCACGGCAGTTTTAGTTTGGTTTAGGTCTTTTTTAAGTTTTTCTATCACTTATTCCTTTTCCCCTTGTATTATGCTGATTTGCATTTAGTCATTGTTCCCACCATCTGCTTGACATGACTTCTGTCATTAATATTTAACTTGTACCTCCCTGCCTCTCACAATGTTACACAAAGCAGATACTCAATTTATGTTTATGTTAATGAATGGATGGATGAATGAATCAATATGGAAAATACCTCATTAGTAAAAGCTACAGAATTTCATAGTGTAAATTAGACTAACAGCTATGTTGACTTTGCAAAAGATACACAACCGTAAGTATTTGTTTTATGAGAATAGATTTTTGTTCTAAAAATGAAGGATGAAAGCCAAAAGCGCTGCTTAAAAACACTTTAAAATTCTTAGAGTATTTTTTAGTTCAGTAGAGAAAAAAGTAAGTATGATTTGAAGATGAAACAAAGATAGACTAATCTAAACTTTCAAGAACCATTTCTTACTAGGAATCTAACCCGAGATATCCTGTTTGGGAAGTAGAGTATAGGTATCAGCTTTTTGAAATTAGAACCATAAATTGTGAAAATCAGATAAGCTGCGAGTCCGGCAGTGTGGAAGAAGCCATTCCCATTAGCCAGACTGTGTGAAAAGCACAAAACAACGGGTAAACTGCCTGCCTCCTTCCGGCCCCTGTTTCTTGGTGCCCACATTCAGCCGCAGCAGGCACTGGAAGACTCAGACTTCAACTCCAAAAGGTGACACTGCAAAGAATGAAAGCAGGTGGCTGAGGTAGAGGCTGAAAGCAAACTTAAGAATTTGATTTCATGAAAATTGGGGGAAAAGCTCATTCTATTGGTGCCACTGCAGTAGGAACGAAGTCTGCCATTGCATCACTTTGCATCTTTCATACACTTTTCTTATCTACAGCTGAAAAAACTCACTATAATGAGAAAAGATTCAACTCACCAAGAGGATGTGGCGATTTAAAACATAACATGCATCTAATCAAATAACCTCAAAATGCATGAAGCCAAAAGTGGCAAAACTCCAAGGATGAGCCAATAAATCTAAAATCACAGGGGTAGCTTTCAACACATACTCTTGATTTTTGATAGGTCAAGCAGGCAGTAAATAAAAAAAAAAGATATAGAAAATATGAATAACACAGTAACCCTGGTCTAATGAATATATACAGAATTTTGCAAATGTGAATCAGAGAAATCACCTTTTCCCCTCAATTCACATGAAACATTTACAATTGATCCAAGTATTAGCCAGTTTAGAAAGCTCCAATACATTTCAAAGACTAGGTCCATATACACCAATAATTTGTACCACATTATAATTAAGTTAAAGTTTAATAAAAAAAAGATAGGCAAAGTATTTTTACATATTTGGAAATTAAAAGACATCCTTCTCAAGAGCTCACAAGTTAAAACAGTAACCACAGTGGAAATTTACTGAATGATAATGAAAACTCAATGCATAGAGGCCTGTGGGATGCAGCAAAACTGAAAGTTCTTTCACAATTTTTTATCCTCAAGAGACATTTTTACTTTAAAATCTGTTTAAAAGAAGAAGGCCTCAAAATTAAGAGACAAGTGTTTATCTTAAGAAGTTAAAAAAAAATGACAGAATATACCCAAATTAAGTTGAAGGGATAATAAAAAAGAGAAGTTGATGAAATGCAATCAAAGGTATTAAGATAGAAAATAAACAAAGCAAAAATTGGTTCTTTGGGGGAAAATAGCAATAGACAAATTTCTACCAAAAATGATCAACTGGAAAAGCAAAAGGACACAAACACTGTAATCAATGTGAGGAGGGGACATAAGAACAGATAAAGTGAGAATTAAAGAGATACTGCTACAGTATTTCAGCAATGCTGAAATTTTGAAAGCATAAATGCAGTGGGCACATTCTTGGAAAAATACCATTTACTGGAATTGGCCTCAAAAGTAATAAACATTAATAGTCCTATAGTTATTAAAGGAATTGAAGTAGTGATTGTAATCTCTCCACAAAGAAAACACAAGATAGATGATTTTATAGGCAACTTCTAACATTCCAAGGACATTCCCAATTTTATTCAAACTCTTTGAGGTTATAGGAAAAGGAGGAAGAGTGCAATTCATTCCATGAGGCCAGCATAACTGTGACACCAAACCAAGACATTATGAGAAGGGAAAAGTGTAGGCCCATTTCTCTCATGAATAGAGGCAAAAATCCTAAACATTAACAAGCAACTGGACAATGTATAGAAAAATTTTATATGCTTATCTTATACTAGTGGCCAGGTGCATGGAGTCATGCATATTGAAAGGAAATTAATTAGAAAAAGTATTTTAATATAACTATTTGCCCTTTCTCTATAATAGATGTGTCAGAGATGAAAGAAAATTAGTACATTGTATAT